CTGCGCCCTTCGCTCGGGGTCCTGCGCCCTTCGCTCGGGGTCCTGCGCCCTTCGCTCGGGGTCCTGCGCCCTGCACTCGGGGACCTGCGCCCTTCGCTCGGGGACCTGCGCCCTGCACTCGGGGTTCTGCGCCCTGCACTCGGGGTCCTGCGCCCTTCACTGGGAGTCCGGCGCCCTTCGTTCGGGGTCCTGCGCCCTTCGCTCGGGGTCCTGCACCCTGCGCTCCGGGTCCTGCGCCCTGCGCTCGGGGTCCTGCGCCCTTCACTGGGAGTCCGGCGCCCTTCGCTCGGGGTCCGGCGCCTTTCGCTCGGGGTCCGGCGCCCTTCGCTCGGGGTCCTGCGCCCTTCCGTCTGAGGGGTCAGCATTGCACTCTGCTGTCTCAGTGAAGTCCTCAGTGAAGTCCTTCAGTTGCCACAGGGGCTGAATGTTATGTCTATATGGTGCCCTTACTGGAGGGATTCAGGGTCCTGCCAAAGAACAAGGGTTCAAACCCTGAGTCGAATTCGGAGCACTCATTTTATGGGTGAGGACGCTGAAGCCAGAGAGCTCGGAGGACGTGTTTGAGGTGACTCAGTGATTAGTGGCAAAGCCAGAAGTAGGTCCTAAGAATGAAGCCTACCGAACTCTTCCAAGACCAGTGAAGGCCCTGGCTGTTTTCTTGTGAGTAACTGGTTTCCTAACTGCCTGCGAGGTCCTGGGGGGCAGGGAGGAGGTGGTGAGGAGCCCTCCAGACAGGGGCCTCCCATGGCGTGGACCAGCCCGCGGCAGTTAAAGGCAGCGCTTTCTCAGTGCGTGTGGCGGTTTAAGAATGACTGGGTTAGGCCGCTGAAGCTACTGAGGTGTTAGAGTATGTTAGGATCCAGGAGAAGGCCTTGCATTATCAAAGAGGACATTATCAAGGGACTCAGCCAGACCACTGCACACCCCTGCAGCTGGGGTGGGGGAGGTGTGTAGGGGCAACATTGTGTAATCACCATAAAAATGTGTGCTGGGTCACCTCTGAAAAACTGTTGACCTCAGGTTTAAGCTGGCCTTGTGCTGACTAAGTGGGGATCTTATTAACCATAGCCTTGGTTAATTCCCTTTAATTGTATTCTGTTTCTCAGAAAGCTTGAAGTGGCTTTTAAACTTCCATGAAGATATGAACAGCTTCATGATCTAGATTTACTAATACAGTCATCTCTCATTTTTTAATTCATCACTTCAGTGCCAATAAGCCCTATTACAAAGAAGCCCAGTAGCTAACTCCCCAGTTGTCCCAGCTCTGGAGGATTTTATAGTCAAAGGGAATTACTTCCATCTCCGCATGTTAAACTGAGAGAGAGCTGTCTTCTCATTCCCCTGCTGCCACTATCCCTGCCACCAGGCACCAAGCACATTCAGAGAGCTGCCACTGCAGGCCACTGCCGGCCAACTCTGCCTGTTCAGCCTCTGGGCAGATGGGCACTGGGTGATCCCACAGCTCAGTGTTGGCTCAGTAAAGGCTGAACAGTGACAGCCACCCGGATCTCTTTCCCAGAGGCAGTCATTGTTACTACTTTCTTACATATCTGTCCAGAAAGAGTCTATGCATTTACAAATCTTTATGGATGATCACAAACACACATCTATTCTTTTATCTCCACAAAATGGTAGCATATTCTACACACAGTGCTGCAGCTTTTTAAAAATTTAGCAATATATTATGGAGATCATTCCATATCAGTACACACTGTGGTGCTTCATTCTTTTTCATGGCTGTATAATATTCCAGCACCATCTGGTTTTCAGGGAATAACCCATCTTCATCTACTTCTCAGCAAGTAACTCAGATGTCATCTACTTTGTGGACATTTGGGTTCTTTCCTGCTTGTTGTTGTGGTTTTGTTTGCTATTACAAACAGATAGGCATGTTTACATTTGTATTCAGGTATTTCAGCAGGCTCTGCTTCTGCCCTCTAAGGGAGGGTTCTGCTCAATCAAAGGAAGTACACATTTTAAAGAGTGACGGATAGTTCCAAATTGACTTGCACTGAGTATCATTTTATACTCCAATAAGCAATGTATAGGAGAACCTGTTTCCCTACTCTCACTAATAATGAAACTCCTCAAACTCTGACAAGTAAAACATGCTATTACACTGCAGTTTTAATGTGCCTTTCTGCCACGGGTGAGGTTCAGCATCTTTTCATTTGCTATATTCTTTTATAGATTGCTTTTTAACTGGTGCTCGAAGGTGAACTGCTGCCTAAAGATCAAGCATTATGCAAATAATTTAGAAATTCAAATGTTCTGGTATAGGTTTTATTCCAGTTAGCTGTTTTTACCCTAATTAATATAGGGTGTGCTTCATAGTGCTACCTAAGGGATCCGTTTTCTTGCTTTAACAAATGTTTATTAAAAGGTGCCCCATCGCCCTGGCAGGTTTGGCTCAGCGGTTAGAGCATCCGCCTGCAAACTGGAAGTCCCAGGTTCGGTTCCTGCTAAGGGCACGTACCTCGGTTGTAGTTTGTCCCTGACCCCGTTTGGGGTTATGTAGGTGGCAACCACTCTATGTGACTCTCTTGTATCAATAGTTCTCTTTGTTTCTTCCTTCCTTTCTCCCTCCTGCTCTATCTGAAGATGAATGCAAAAAAATAAAAATAAATTTAAAAAATGCCCCATCAATTATAAAAGGTGGACTTTAATTTATAGATATATATTTTTTAATCCTGGTTTGGCAGGCTTTACTACACCAAAAGATGTTACAGCAAAACCAGTGTTGTCTTATTAAATATAATACTTTTTAAATTCAATTCAGCTGTGACATTTATGAAACAGAAATTTGAGTATCAACTGGGCGTTATGGAGCTGTTATATTTCTTAGTTGTGATAGTGGTATTGTGGTTGTGTTTTGTGGAAAAAAAGAGTTCTTTTGGAGATTCATACTGAAATATTTATGAAATAAATGATATATCTGGGATTTGCTTCAAAATATTTCTGGACGGGGCAAGTGATAGGAGTGTAGATGAAATAACATTGATCATGAGTGCATCGAGCCTGGATGTTAGATATGTGGTATTCTCTCTGTTTTTACCTGTGTTTGAAATCATCCATAAAAATTCTAAAATTCAACAGATAAGTACAAAGTTTGTGTTATGTGCAAGCCATGGTGCCCTGTGTTACATGAGACAGACACTCCACAAGTCCAGGGGCCTGTTGGCTTGTTCTCTGCAGTGAGCCCAGTGCCTGGGACACTGCACACAGTAGGTGCTCAGTACGCCCTGAGCTCGCCCGCACTCTGGCTCCCAAGGGGCTGCTCTGTTTTCTGTTCCCAGGGGCTGCGGCCCTGACGATGTGCTGCATGAGGGAGCAACAGAGCACGTGCTGTGGAGCTGAAGGAAGGTGGGGTGGCCCATTTATTCAGGGGTCAGCAAGGTGCTTCTGTGGAGTTTGTGAGAACTGACACTGTGGTGCCTGAGACCGAGAACATCCTCTGCATCCAAAACATTTCTAAGCAAAGCAAAGTCTCTCCTTTAATTTAACATGAATGATTTCTTTTAGGAGCCTGGCAGGGAGATGCTAGCACTTAGAGGAATAACTCAAAAGGTTGTGTGTGGAGGGGGGTGTCACAAAACCTTCTTAGAACATATCCCCATCTCCATCTCCTCTCTTTGAACCTGTTTCGTTGTGAGTCGAGCATGATATCACACCGAGAAATGTGCTTAATCAGTGCTCTCTGGTGAGGAACAAGAGTAGGTGGTGTCATAAGAAAGAAGAGAATCAGAATTGGGAAGTTATCAAAGGAAATGTCAGGAATTCAGGGTGCAAGATGGGTCCTGTGGGTATGTCTGAGTGATTAGATAACTCAGAGGCAGAGAAGTTCATGATTTTTAATGTTTGCATGCAGGTGTTGGTATAGTTGCCCCAGAATGAGAGCAAAATGGATTAAAAAATAAAAGCTAGTCACATCTTGACAGGAAGAAGGCTCTTTTGAGAAATCATCAATGTTGCATTACAAACACCATTCAGATACACCGAATGGGCCAGATGGTTGTGGAGTACCGAACATTGCCAGCTGCCCATTGCTACAGATGAAGTCTTTTCTGCTGACGTTCGTGTCACCCACCAGAACATTATAGTGTAGATTCTTTTGGTGCTGTTTAACATTTGTGTGTCATCATAATTAGAAACCATAAATATACATGATACCATGCAATAAGTAAAATCTCCCAGCTTTCATTCTGAAACGGGAGTAGGCCGTATTATTACCAGACAAGAGAGGATGTCTAACACTCATTTTCCATTCTTCGTAAATGCCACGCGGCTCTTGTTGGATGCTCTACATTGCTTTATGCTCTCCAAGCCTCATCCCTTCCAAACGCCTCATCCCTTCCAAACACATTTCGAGGGCTGATATGTATCTCTGAGCTCCAGGTTTTAAAGCATACCTGGACCAAACGTCAGGTGGATACAGTTCAGGGGAATCCAAACAGTTCTAAATGAAGCCAAGCTCTTCTATTTGACAACATACTGACAGTTCCTTGGAGGTCACAAAACAGGCAGGTGTACAATGTAGAAGGAGGTAGGTAAATGGAAGCAAATCAGCTTCTTTCAAAACAGACATTTTCTAGGAATGCATTTATTTTTGCTTTGAAAGAAAGTATATTCAGTGTCATTCACCTATTTATTTGTAGCTGCATCTATAAAAACCAACACCTGAGCATGTGTTTGCAGGGCAGGAGGCGGAGGGAGGGTAAAAACCCGCACAATTCACTTCATCGGTCACAAACACATAAAGGAACTGCCCAAGATCAAACCCTCCCCGGGCCGGGCACATTCGGCCTCACCCAGGAAGACCTCTTTAGAATACAGCATCTTTATTTCAGGCCACGGATCCCAGACAGCATGTTTCAAGGCTCCATAAATACAGGACTCGGATGCTTCCTGACAACCAACATTTCTGCTTTCTAATGTGTAAATAAATGAATACTCCCAGTGAGCAAATATCTGTGCACTGAGTTTGCAATCTTGTCTTTCAGAAATACCGACAGTACATGGCGGGACTGCTGGCTCCTCCTTATGGTGTTATGGAAACGGGTTCTAACAATGACAGTAAGTGAAAAATGTGAACATTTTGTATCTAAAAATATGTCGTGTTTTGTGTGTTTTCATGTGACAAAAAATATGTCCTACACCAGCTTGACAGATTAAGTTTCCAGACTCTTTTGTGGATAAACAGACCTGCCAGCCCACATGGGTTATTTTTTTAAAATTGTGAACATATTATTCAGTGGTTTTAGCTGATGCTCTGGTCCTAGTTGGAACTTCATCATTCTTAGAAAGTTTTCTTAGAATCTCTTCATGTTCGAGCAAAATCCAGTCGTTTCTGTGCTCTTTTCAAAATGGGGCTCATGGACTGTTTATCTCCGTCATTTCTGCACACCCGAGAGCCCCTCTTCTGGCTCATTTTGATGTTACTGATCAAGGAGAGAAGCAGTGAGTCATTATTCTTCTTAAATCACAGCCTCTCCAAACTCCGGGCCTTTTCTGGGAGACCTGTCCCTGTCTGCTCATAAAGGAAAGGAAGTTGTTCTTTGTGACACACTTTCCTAGTGTGTGCCCACTGGACTCAAAAAGATCCGTGTCCTGAATCTGTCCGTCTGTGTGTGTGAGTCGGAGCATCTGTTCGGGACTCGTTGCCACCCCTGGGAGACCCTCCTTGCCCTTCTAAGCCCCTCCTGGGCTCCGGCACACCCGCACGTGACAAGGTGCCAAGTACCGGCTCTTGGAGCCTGCGGGCCCTCCAGAGCCGGGAACACCCTTCGGATCCTCGTCCTCGCGCCTGAATCCCCATCTCCATCCCAGACTCACTCTCTACGGGCGGTTCTCCTGCCTGACCGAGACCTAAGCGAGCTTCTTCCCCCTTCTCTGCCTCACAGCTCCTGTGCAGCCTGTGCCCTTCGTCCGCTCTCCTGTCCTGGGGAGAAGGGCGGGTCTTGCTTCCCTTTCCTTTGCGCCCTGTTTTGATTTTTCTCTCCAGACCGACCTAGGCGTGGCCGGCGCGTGAGGAGTCCCAGAGCTGAAATCCCAGCTGTGATGTCTTCCAGCTGTGTGACCTCGAGCAAGGCACTTCGTCTCTCTGTGCCTCTGTTTCCTCACGGGATTATTGTGAGGATTAAATGAAGCGAAACGTGTCAAGTGTTTAGAAGGGTTCCAAGCATATAATTAGCACCCGAATGATGTTAGCTATTATTTCCTCATGACCGGTCACTCTTTAACCCCTCCAAGTTTGGCTCCTGCCCCATACTTCTTTTTTAAAAAAAATATGTTTTTTATTAATCTTAGAGAGAGAGAGGAAGGGAGACAGGGAGAGAGAAAGAAACATCTATGAGAGAGAAACATCAACATCGATTGGCTGCCTCCTGCATGCCCCCTACGGGGGATCAAGCCTGCAACCTGGGCATGTGCCCTGACCGGGAATCAAACTAGTGACCTCTTGTGCATGGGTCGACGCCCCGCCACTGAGCCACACGAGCCAGGGCTGCCCCATACTTCTTGACTCAAACCACTCTGCAGCTTCCAATGACCAATAATAACCACATTCAGTCATCACCACTCCCCATTCTCTGACTTGGAGCAAGACTATTGGCGCCAAGACTCTATTCAGGTTGCTTGCATGATCCTGGTTTCCCTGTATCTCTGTAGTCACTTGCGTGTTTGTCTCTTTTACACTTCTTCCTTTTATTCAGAGGTTTAAGTCTCACCCAGGAGTCCAGCCTTCGCTGTCTTCTCTATACTTTCCCCTGACCATTGCATCCTTTGTTGCAATTGATACCAGTACTTCCTGAACGAATACCTCTGATTCCTCCAAAGGGCAGCCTAGCTTTCCAAATGACTGCTGGTTCTCTCCATCCGGATGTCCTGCTGGCTTCTGAAACTCAAAATATCAGTAACAGAACACATCCTGATGCCCACAAAATCGATCCTTCCTCTGACAGTGCATTTTCATTCATAACTGTGCCACTGTCCTTCATGCACCAGGCTCTAACCCAATCATTCTGGAGCCTCCTCTCCCTTTACCTCCGCCCGCTGAGGTTGGTCGCCTGTGCGTCCCTTACTCCTTCCTTTGTCGTGTTCACATTCTTCCATTTGTGTTCCCTCCCAAGCCACCTGGCTGAGGGCCTCATCACCTTTGACCTGGGGGCAAAAATGACCTAGCTGGCTCGGAACTTCAGTGTCTCACCCTTGGTCTACCCTCCACCTACCTGACGTATGCAGAGCTTCTTAAGATTTACTTTCTGTTGGGAAAAGTTTCAAACATACAGAATGATACAGTTAACACCCATGTTTTTCATCACTTCAATTTAATTACTATTTTAATATTTAAATAGCATTTGTTAACTTAATGTGTGTTTTAAAATCAATATTTTGCCATTATTCTTTCTTTTAATCGTACTCATCCATTTCACACCAAATACTTCAATAGGTATTTTTGAAAATAAAAACATTTCCAAATATAACTGTAACACTCTTATCACACCTAATAACTGGTATGACTTTCCTTAATAACATTCTACCTAGTCCATAGTCAGATTCCCCAACCGAGTATCTTTATAGCTCCTTGCTCAAACTGGACCTCAATCAAGGACCCTCCCATTGAATCTTGTTATTATGTCTTAAATGTCTGTTAATTGTAAGCAGTTCCTTCCCTTCTTTATCCTGGTCATAATCACTCCATTGCTCAAAACCACTGAATAATGGTTCATCACTTGCGGTGGCAGGTGAATGCCAAGACTGCCAATGCCTTGGCCCAGCTCTCGAGTTCCTGCATGGCCCCAGATCACCTTGTCAGTATTGTTTCTCTACAGAGACCCTAACTGCTAGTCACTCAGTTATGGTGATTTATGCAACTGTGTATTTGCCTTATTAAACGTCCTAGAAAGTAAGCTCCCGTTGCACCCTGTATCTCCTCAATCAATCAGTTCCAGTCTTTTCAAACAGTTGTTAAATGAGTGGGTGGGTAGGTGGGTGGGTGGATAGATGCATGGATGGATGCATGGATGGATGGATGGATGATGGGTTCAGGACGAGTTTCAGAGTGCTGGCATTAGGCCACCCTTCCTGCTCTGACAGATCTCGGAAGTGACGCCAAGCCTGCCCATAAGTAGGCTCTGTTTATGTCCTGGTGCTATCCTAGTTTGGGAGCCAAAGTTTAATTAGGGACTGTTTCCAAGTAGTCTCTTTCCTCCTTATCTCTCCTGCATACTGCACTGCTGCCCATTAGGATGGGTGCTCAGTTATTTTCATGCCAATATTGTAAATAAGGGAAGGCCTGAATTAAACACAAAATGTTCTGTTTACTCAGAATTTGGAAGTACTATATTTTAACATTGCAAACCACCTCACACTGCCCTGGTGGTTTGAAACTAAGTGCAGGCCACATATGAAAACCAGCTGTGTTTCTGTCCCCTCCATAGAAGGCCACTTGTGCCACTGTCTTGAGGGCACTAAGCTCTGCTGGGGCTGTGGTCCTTCCAGTATGACCACCCTCACCACGTCTGTCCGAGCAGCAACCCCAAGGGAAGAGCTGAGGACCGGACCTGCCTGTAGTAGATGCTCATGAAATGTTTGTAAATGAATGAACAAAGAAGTGAATGGATGGATGTTTAGCTTTTTGCTCAGAAAGCTGAGCTCTCCCTGGGAACAGCCAATGCCCTGCTGAGCCTTGACTTGGGGGCCACAGGAGTTTGCTTTGCCCCAAATGGAAATTGTGTTCTGGTGGGTTCCATGTGCAGCCGGGCCCTAGGTTCAAACCCCTGGAACAGTGTGAGGTGGTCTGAAGTGTAAAACTACAAATGTGCCACTTACACGTGGTGTATCTGTCAACAGTTTTGATGTTCTGGTGCCCCAGAGCTGATTGTTCACTTGGTGTAAATGAGCCAAGGGTAAATGTTTACCTCTGAAAAAGTAGGGCATATGGTAGAAAAGCCAAGTCAGCATGAGATTTTGTTGTTCACTCTCAGCCCTGCTCCTGATTCACTGGTTTATTTGTTATGGATTTGATAGGTGCTGCTTTTTTTTTTCTAAGCAGCATTATGTAGTTTTGTTTGAAAACACCAAAATTTTACTTGGTTTGATTCAGCAAAGGATTTTAATTCAATTTTACAGGTTACTCTTACAATTCATGGTCTCTTTCTCTCCTTTTTCTCTTCTAGGGATTCCCGACAAGGAGAACGTGAGTAGCTACTCTCTGCCTAGCTTCTAAAAACTGTCAAAAGGTAAAAAATAATCATGGTAACCTCTCCAGCAAAGAGAGCTCTTTATCCCAAATCAACAGAGCAATAAATATTGTTCTAATCTTACTCTGGCATCTTTGGTGGGTCACTTTGAAGTATAAAGGGGAGAAGGTCGATCGCTGTGACATGGGCATCTCGCATCTTTGACCTTAAGTAGTCTGAAGAAAGGTTTTTCCAGGGGCAAACAGTCCAAGTGCTAAATGTTTTCCTTTTCCCTTGACGCATACATAGCAGTAGAACAAATCATTCGCTTAACAGCCTATAGAAAAGGTGTTGTTTTTCCTTAGTAGGAATACAAAATATGAAATTCAGGGTCAGATGTTGAATTTGCCTAATTCTCTCCAAGTACATTAAAGTCATTATTTCTCTTTGGAAACTGAAAATAATTAATTGTTATGGTTGTTCAGGGGAAACAGGTGAGAAAGTAGAAGGGTTAGGATAAGCCCTTCCTAAGGAGCGGCACCAAGCATGCATCCTCGGGGTGGTGGGGGCGCAGCGGCACCGGCTCTGCATGTAAGTAGGCATCGCGATGTTAATTCCGTGCGCTGGGATCTAAATGTAGACAACACGAAGGGTTACTGATGGAAGGATGTAGTCATCCACCTGAAGTGCTGCTCAGTGGCTCCCCACGGACCGTCTTGCCATTGTGTTCCCTGATTGCCGTACCCAAGTGGCAGTGTTACAGGACTGTCACCCTTTTCTTTCCCTGCTTTTGGTCCTGTCTGCAGGACACTGTCTTAATTAAATTAGATGATCTCTGTCTTCCTTCTCAGACTCTAGCTGTCTTCAGGTGCCTGTTTCCCTAAGCTTGGTTGTAAAGGGCGGGGCGGGGAGCCTGGCCCACCTCTACAAACCTGGGGTTCAAGACCCAGTGCCGTTACTTCAAATGTCACACCAAAATTCTGCTGGGGTTTTAGTCCCTCCCTGCGGGATCTTGGGCCATCTGCTTGACTTCCCCAAGCATCCCTGCCTCATCTTCAAAACGTGGCTATTAGTCTGTGGAAAACAGAGATACTACAATAGAGCTCAGTAAATGTTAGGACCATTATTATAATTATTATTTTCTCAAGGCTTCCATCATTTTCCAGCTATTTTTCCTTCTTTGAAAATGTCTTACCCTTTACAGAGCAACTGGTGGGTTTGGTTTTGTTTTCTTTATGGCTCTCCTTAAAAAACCTTTCTTCAGTGGGCCTTTCTATTGATTATTTGCTATTAAAAAAATATCTTTAGACACAGACACGCGTATTGTGATTCCCAGAGGGAGAAGGGTGAGGGGATGGAGAAGAGGGTGAAGGGGGGCTAAATGGGGATGGAAGACGACTTGACTTGGGGTGATGAACACAATACATTGTACAGATGATGGATTATAGAATCGTACACCTGAAACCTACATAATTTTATTAACCAATGTTACCCCAATAAATTCAACTTTTAAAAAATCTTTATTTGAGTAAAGCGGTAGGTAAACAGGTTCATGGAGAGTCTGAGACCATCGCCTTTAGAGCCGAAAGTAACATAGCGATCCTGCCACCGTTGGGACAGGGATGTCCCAGAGCATGATATAGCCCAAAATACACAGCCCGTTAGCCAAGCAAAGATGATAGAAGAGCCTGCTGCTTCCTCACCAAGGGACGATCAGTGATGTGGAGAGCTCAGAATGGCCTAACACCAGGGCGTCGAAAATGCTCTAAGCTTCCAAAGGAAGCTCGTTGCCCTTAGTCCCCTGGTGACCTTTAGTTTGGACCCTCCTGCGGTGGGACAGCAGGCACAGCCTTCTAGGCAGAAAGTCTACCAGCTGTCGTCATGTAGCTCATTTTGTGACCAAAGAGGAATTTGAAGTTTGCAGAACGTTAGATACAATGACTTGGGGCTGGCCCGGCGGCCTCCCCTCTATTGGTTGTGGTGTCTGCTTATTTGCCTTTGTTTGGGCCATTCTGGCGAAGGGAAAGGCACACGGTTCCTCTGTCTGCACTTAGAGTGGATGTAACGTCACCCTGTGCTCTCAGGAAACCTCTCGATGCCATCAGTCAGAGTAAAGCAGATGAGATGAAAGGCCTTCATGAGCAGAGTAGAAGCTCTAGAAAGATACAAAGAGGCCTCAGATCCTTAGAGTGGTGTTAATTGAAGTTTTGCCTTTAGAAGAGACAAGTTGTGTTGCAATGGTTTCTCTTAATCCAGTGCCTTCTTTAGCTGTGTGCTGCGCGATATTATATCCCCTTTATGTTTCTAAATAGAAATAATATGCCTGTGACTGAAATAAAAGCACTTAGGCTATTGTTTCAGTGTCCAAACAGAGTCTTTGTGGAAAGAATATATTCCCCTTTCCAGCTCCTACTCTTGATTTTGCTAATCACCATGTTTAACTTTTAATCAAATATGCAGACGTCAGTAAGTGGTATTTTTACCTGCCTTGCCAGCGATATTTTATTCCCAGACCCAGGTGTACCTTGCCTAAAAAGAACTCTCTTTTCATAAATTGCACTTTCGTAGAAACAAATGGGCTGGCAGTTAATCTGCTGGATTATTTTGTTTACTACTTATTGTAATTGATAGGGATTTTTAATGTTGGTACCACAGGATACTGGAACCTCTAAAATAACTGATGAAAATATTTTAAAAAATGGTCATTGAGCTAATAAAGCCAGTAGGCTGTTTTGGTAGGGATGTGATTGTTCGGGGCTGTTGGTTTTATGAAGAAATTCTTCTCTTTGATCTGTTTAAGTTGTATTTTTCTGTCTTCTCTATGTGCCACACCTGACTGACCACATTTAACATAGAAGCTAAAAAAAATAAATCACAGTTAAAGGAAACTTTTATAGTTGAATATAATGGCTGCCCTTTGAAAGACTGAGCTTGTCTATAATTTTTTGCTACTTATGTAGATTTTGTTTGCTGTGCTGTATCCTTTTGAGAGGCAACTGCTATGGAGTTTCGTAGTCTTAGACATTTCTAGTTTTCTTCCTAAGTGTGCAAGAAGCCAGAAAATAGGCGCAGGAGGAGATTACAAAATAATCCCTTTTCCTGACTTACAACATCTTGTTTCCAAAAAGGTCATGTGAAGTCTTTATTTTTTTAGGCAGTTATAGTATTGATAGTGTTGCTAGCAAGCTTCTTGCTAAGTCTGGAAGAGCCCTTTCCCAGAATAAAACGCTGTCAATGCGGAGGTCAAGGTTTCCGAAGCCCTGGAGAGCTGACGCTAGCTATTAATGATGAGCAAGCCTGCAGGTCTTCTAAAACTACTTGAAGGCCTCATTAAAGTTGTGTCAAACTTTTAAAATTCACGGGTTATATATGCGAAGAACAGTTTTCAGGAATTATTATAAAGACAAAAGGTTTGAAATGGCAAAGGATAAGGAAATAATCTATTCAGTTCATGAAAATTCTCATTAAGGAAAGGGTAATAGAGTAATAATAAGCAAATAACGACGAGGGTTAAAAGATTAGGAATTTTAGGAATGTTTAGGGACTATAATAACATTTATCTCTGTTGTTGCTCTTTTTCCAAGGTTAGAGGAAACAAATGAGGATATTTTCCATCACTTGAGTGGCAACATCTTATTTTACCATTATAGATTGGCTATGATTCTGGGCCAAATGAAGCAAAAGGAAGGTGTGTATCCTGATACAAACTTAAAAATGTAAAAAAGTTAGATGATCCCACAAAACCCTGTAAAACCTTTTAACGTCACCTTTAGAGCACCTACTGGAGCCAACCAACAGTTTTCTGCAAAACAATGTCTTTAACATCCTGATTTAAAACAGAACTGATATCGTCCCGAGCTTATCAGAGTCTCTTGGCTGGAGTTCACCGGGTTACCCAGCAGCCATTGCCCTGTTCCTGGGTGGACATGGTCACTAGTGCCGACACCACCCTGAAACAGCACGCATGTCACCGGCTGAGGGTGTAAAGCTCCACACAGGAGAGCAAACCAACCAAATGCTGCCGACTTAGAAAACACTGAGCCTGCTCGTTTTGGTTTTGAAGGACAGATAGCTTATCGCCCGGGCAAAGATTAGATGTAGGGTGTTGCTGGCCCTGCTCTGCACGGTGTCCAGTGTGTAAATACTCATTTCTTCGGCTGGCTGATTGGAATGCGTAGCTCAGGGAGCCAAGACTTACTCTGCCCAACCTCCTGGAGGACAGTGACAATGTCGAAGGTGCCACGGACAATTCAGCTCTCTGAAGACATGTTGTCTGGTGTTTGTGAGTTATGCTGTCCATGGGGCAGAATGCCCTTGCTGAATTGCTTTCTGTTCGTTACTCCATCTGTTCCTCTCCTCTGTTGTAAAAGCTGACTGTCCTGTGTCTCCCTCTCAATTCTGCAGCAGTGTATTGATTGAAGTAAAATGTGTAGTTGTCCTTCAGCTAAATAGTAAATAGCACATGCAGGTAACTCTCTAGAAACCTGATCTTGTGTTGTCCACTAGACCTAGTGTCCGTCACCTCTAAATGTCCTCAGCCACACTCACAGGACCTGCTTGCCGGGAGTTCGCTCGGCAAAGGGGCACAGGTCGGGGTGTATTGGGGTGGTGACTTGTTATCACATTTTAGAATTATATTTATAATATTGTGCATTGCATTTGATGATTGTTTTAATGTTCCAATTTTGGCTCCTCTACATTTAAAAAATTTCATTATGAGAGAACTTTCTAATGTAGCCTCCAGGCTGATGGTTTTTTGCGGGTTGTCACTGATGTTTTTCTAGGGGTTGCTTTGAATATATTCTCTCAGCCATTTCTATCATCAGAATTTCACTTGGCCAGATAGCACAGAGAGAAGCTGGATAGCACTTAATAGTTAACCATGATAATGATAAGAGAAATGAGATCCCCCAATCCCTCTAGCCAACAGCTTCTCCAGCTCTCACTTGAAAAACCAGGACAGCGTTGAAGCGAGCCTGCTCAGAATTAGCTTGCTGCTGAGAATTAGTCCCACTAC